GTTGCTCCCGCGCCTCGCTCAGCCAGTGAGCGGGAACCGGTCTGTATGTGGGATCCGAACCCTCGGACGGGAGCGCCGCCGCGCTTCCCAAGTGGCACACTATCCATTGCGCCACCGGGCCGGCCCCAGACTTTCGTTGTTAACAATGATGTTATTTGTAGGTTTTTCACAGATGCCTTTTATCAGGTTGAAAAAGTTCCCTTCCACTCTTAGTTTCTGAGAGTTTTTATGAGAAATGGATGTTGGATTTTGCCAAATGCTTTTCCCTGCCTCTACTGAGATAAGTATGGTTTTTTTTCCTTTTACAGCTTGTTAATATTGTGTGAAGGTTAATTCTAAGAGTCAACTTGGTTAGATTAAGGAATGCCACGAAACCCAGTAAAGTTATCTTCTTAGGTGTGTTCATGAAGGTGTTTCCAGAAGAGATTAGCATAAGAGCCTAAGTGGACTGGGTGGGAAAGACCTGCCCACAATACGGGTGGGAACCATACAATCCACTGGAGGCTCAGAGGAAAAAAAAAACGCAAATCTCTCTATCTTCTGGAGCTGGGATACTCTCTCCTCTCCTGTCTGTGGACATCATAACTCGAAACTCTTCAGGCTTTGGGTTCCAGGACTTTCACCAATGACACCACTGACTTCCCTGGTTTTCAGGCCTTCACACTTGGACTGAGCCACACTATCAGCATCCAGTTTGCAGACAGCCTATTGTGGGACTTTTCTTCACACTCGCATGAGCTAATTCCCTTAATAAATCCCTTCTCATATATTTATAACGTATCTTATTGATTCTGTCTCTCTGGCGAACACTGACTAATACAGAAAATTGGTACCAGAGAAATGGGGTATTGCTTATAACAAATACTTGAAAATGTGGAAGCAGCTTTGGAACTGGGTGTTATGCAAAGGTCAGAGGAGTTTGGAGGACTCAGAACACAAGAAAACCAGGGTTAGAGACGGGTTAAATGGTGGTCAGGGGCGTGGTTCTGAGGGCTTTAAAGGGAAAGCACACAAACAGTTTTTCTCTTTCTGCTCTGCCACTTTCTGCCATATGAGACCCATGGGTCACTGTCACCACAACCAAGACCCTCATCAGATGTGTTCCCTGGAATTTGGACTTCCCAGCCACCGAAACCATAAGCAATAAATGTATTACATATGTATTAGTCCATTTCTGTTGCTTATAACAAAATACCTGGAACTGGGTGATTTATAAAGAAAACAAAATTTATTGCTTACAGTTTTGGAGGGCGGGAAGTCCAAAGTCCATCTGGTGCTGGCGACAGTGACCCAGAGGTCTCATATTGCAAGAAGGTGGAAGCAGAGAGAGTCAGACTCTTCATGCTCCGTTTTTAAAGCCCCTCCAAACCATACCCACAACCACCATTTTTTTTTTCCTTTTTGTCTTTTTTCGTGACCGGCAACGGATCGCAACCCTCAGTGTCGTGCCCGTACTGGACCGGGACCGGCAACGGGATCGCAACCCTCAGTGTCACGCCGGCACCTCGCTCCGCCAGTGAGCGGCCGGTCTGTATGTGGGATCCGAACCCTCGGTGGGAGCACCGCCGCGCTCCCAAGTGGCGCACTGTAGCAGTGCGCCACCGGGCCGGCCCACAACCACCATTTTTAATCCATTCACTACTGCACAGTCCTACAATCCAATCACCTCTTCAAGGCTCCACCTTTCAATTACCATAATAGGATTTCCCACCCTCTTAACAGTCACAGTGGGGGCTAAGTTTCTAACACATAAGACTTGGGGCACACAATCCAAGCTTCAGTGGCTTTTGGGGGGACATAAGTCAATCCACAACAGTAAATTACAATGATTTATATTCTAATGTTAAACCAACCTTCCATTCCTGGGATACAGTCCCCTTGGTCAAGATATTTTATCCCTTTTAAAATACTATTGGATTTAATTTGCCTAAATTTTGTTTAGAATATTTGACTTTATGTTCACAATCTTGGTCTGTAGTTTTCTTTTCTTGAAATGTCTTTGTCTTGTTTTGATATCAGAGCAATGCTAGCCTCATAGCATGAGTTGGTAAGAACTTCTTCCTCTTCATTTCCTGGAAGAGTACAGTGGATTGAATTATGTCCCCCCAAAACTCACTGAGGATTGAATTGTCCCCCAAGTTTTATGTATTAGAAACTTAGCCCCCCATTGGGGCCGGCCCGGTGGCGCACTGGATAGTGCGCCGCTTGGGAGGCGCGGCGGCGCTCCCGTCCGAGGGTTCGGATCCCACATGCAGACCGGCTCCCGCTCACTGGCTGAGCGAGGCGCGGGAGCAACACTGAGGCTTGCGATCCCGTTGCCGGGCCCCGGTCCGGTTCGGGGACAACCCTGAGGGTTGCGATCCGTTGCCGGACACGAAAAAAAAAAAAAAAAAAAAAAAAAAAAAAAAAAAAGACAAAAAAGACAGAAACTTAGCCCCCACTGTGACTGTTAAGAGGGTGGGAAATCCTATGAGCCTTGAAGAAGTGATTGGATTGTAGGACCGTGCAGTAATGAATGGATTAAAAATGGTGGTCGGGGCATGGTTTGGAGGGCTTTAAAAGAAGAGGAGAGTCTGTCTTTCTCTCTCCCTCTCTGCTTTCTCTGCTTCCACCATCTTGCAATGTGAGTCCCCAGGGTCACTGTTGCCACCCCCAGATGGACTTTGGACTTCTCAGCCTCTGAAACTGTAACAATAAATGTCATTTTCTTTATAAATTACCCAGTTCCAAGTATTTTGTTATAAGCAATATGAATGGACTAATACAAAGACTTTGTCTAGAATTGGTATTATTTCTTCCTTAAACATTTGGTAGAATTCACCAGTGAAGCCATATAAGCCTGAAGTTTTCTTTGTGGGAAGGTTTTTAACTATCAATTAAATTTCCGTATGCTACTCAGATTATCTATATCTACTTACGTAAAGTTTGGTAGTTGGTATTGGTCATATTATGACATATATACATAGATATAGATTAGATATATAGATGTGTGTATGTATATATATGTGTGTGTGTGCACACACATATATAAGTTTTTGTCCACAGTTCCCAGTTCCCCAAGGCAGAATTCTAATCTTCCCCTGCCTTTCTGCCTTAGAAATGCCCTTAAAGAATTTCTCTGACCTACCTTGTCTAAGTGTAGATGATAAGATCCCCATTTCAATAGGGGTCTTGCCCATGCACAAGAGGAAGAAATACTGCACACAGACGCCACGAAGGATCTGAACCAAAGCTTTGCTAGGTCTCCACACTCAGTTTATAAGTATTAGATTATACCCCTTTTGTCCAGTCATGTTACTACACAGCTGTCCATGCATCAATCATGCCTATCCAATGAAGTCTCCATAAAAAGACCCATGAGGATGGGGAGCTTCTGAACAGCTGAACTCATCCACATGCCAGGTGGGTAGAGCACCCCAACTCCACAGGAATGGGAGCTCCTATGCTCAGGACCCTTCCAGACCTCACTCTACGTATCTCTTCATCTGGCTGTTTATCTGTATCCTTTAAAACATCTTTTACAATAAACTGGTCATTGTAAGTAAGTGTTTCTCTAAGTTCTGTGAGCCGCTCTAGCAAATTAGTCAGGCCCAAGGAGGGGGTGGTGGGAGCCCCAATTTATAGTGGGTTGGTCAGAAGCACAGGTAAAACAATGTGCACCTTGCGTTTGGCATCAGAAGGTGGGCTGGCGGGGGGGATCTTGAGGACTGAGCCCTCAACCTGTGGGATCTGATGCTGTCTCCAGGTAGACAAGAGTTGAATTAGAGGACACCCAGCTGGTGTCCACTGGAGAACTGCTTGGTGTGTAGAGACATCTCCACACACCTGGTGTCAAAAGCATGTTGTGAAAGCATGCTGGGAGAAACCGAATGTGTTTTTTCCCACCAATGTTTTTCAAGGACTTTTCCATTTCATCTAGTTGTCAAATTTATTGGCATAAAGTTGTCATAATGTTGCCTTATTATTCATTTACTAATGTATGCAATTTGTAGTGATGACACCTTTCTCATTACTAGTACTTTAAATTTGCATCTTCTTTTTTCCTTAATAAATCATATTAAAGAGTTACCAATTTTATTGATTTTCGCAAAGAACCAGAGAACCAGTTTTTGGTTTTTATTGATATTCTCTACTATTTTTCTTTTTCCTATTTCAATGATTTCTGCTCTGTTCTTTGTTATTTTCTTTATTTGGCTTACACTGGATATAATTTACTCTTCTTTTTCTAGTTTGTTAAGCAGAAGCTGAGGTCATTAATTTGAAATTTTTCTTCTTTTCTAATGTAGGTATTCAGTGCTATAAATGTCCCTCTAAATATCGTTTTTGTGGCATCCCACAAATTTTGATGTGTTTTCATTTTCATTTGGTAAATAAAATTTTCCAAGTTCCTTCTTTGATCCATGCTTATTTAGGAGTATGTAATTTATTTCCAAGTTTTTGGGGGGTTTCCAAATAGCTCTCTGTGATTGATTTCAACTCCAAATCCATTGTGGTTAGAGAACATTTCGTTTAAATTAAATCCTTTTAAATCTATTGAGACTTGCTTTATGGCCCGGAATATATAGGTAAACATTCTATATGTACTATTAAAAAATGTATATTCTGCTCTTGTTCTATAAAAGTGAATTAGGTCAAATTGTCTGATAGTGTTTCATAGTGACCCTTTGCATGACAATTTCAATTTAAACTGAAAAAGTAAACTCTAAGTTCAAGGCAATATTGAAAAACAAAACATCCAAAATTCTACCAAATCCCTTTAAATATTCCACTCAATGGAATTTAAATTAATAAAATGAGTAGAAGAAGCCAAAGGAAAAAATAATCATGTCAGGAGATTATTGATCTTTTGACCCAAATTACAGAATCACAGAATGTTGGAGGTGAATGACTTCTCAGAGACTAGCCCAAACATCTTATTTTATAGCAACTCTGAAAGACTCAGACATATGTTCAGGGCAATGCGCTGTGATAGCTATGCTTCAACCTGTACCACCGCTTACCTGTTCCACTGTGCAGAAGATGTGAGCGTCGTCTTGCTGGAAGCGCCTGACTCGGGTCAAGCCGCTTAAAGTCCCTGACAGTTCATTTCTATGAAGTACTCCAAAATCAGCAAATCTAATAGGCATTTCCCTCCAAGATCGTGGACGATGGGAAAACATCAGACTAGAAAAGATGCAGTAACACTTAGCTTTTATATAGTACAGAAAAGAGTAAGTGATTATCTAAATATTAAGAAATTACAATTAAGCCTCAAGATTTGTAAATTCATTATTTCGGTTTTTAGATCATCAGGTTTAAAAATTTTTTTCTATGAATTACTGAACCTTGAATTTACATCACTGCAGCACTCTAAGAAAGAACCTTGTCTATCATTTCTTCCAGAAATGCTGCTCCCTGTTCTCATCCACTCAATAAATCTCCACTTATCATTTATTTTTATTTTATTTTAATTTTTTGGTGGCTGGCCAGTACAGGGATCCAAACCCTAGACCTTGCACACATAGTTTATAATTCATTTCAAAAGCTACTTCTTAAGTGAAGCACTCTGGACACCTCCACAGACAGACCTAGTCAGTCTCTCTTCAGGCTCCAAAAACACCCCAAACAGGCCACTACTACAGCACTGGTCTCGCTTTTTCATAACTGATTGTCAACATATCTGTCCCTGCCCCACTCTGCTCACTAGCTCTATGAGGAAATAAACTGTGTCTTAACAACCTCTGCATTTCTAGCACTGAGCACGGGAAGCACACCACTAACGTCTCTGTGGAATGAGGCACTTCTTTTCTCCAGAAAGAACTGCTGACTCTCACATCCCATAGCCACTAAGCTACTGTGGTCCTGCTTCCTTTTTTTGAGGCATGAAAACACAAAATTACATTCTCTACTTTCATTTAGCCTTACTTATAATTATAGTTGAAATCACAGGCTACAGCTTTAAATGATACCTAATGGGAAAGTGAGTTAAGAAATTGCTAACACAAGTGTTTCAGAGAATGCAAAGCACTAGTTTAGCCTCCACGTTCTGCTTAAAAAGAAAGTTTATAGGATGTTTATATACCAGTTTTCGTAAAATTAAAGTTACATACATTTTTTTACATGCTGTCATCATAAAGTTGAATTTCTTTTAGTCTTTACTAAAAATGACAAAGAGCTTTCTTCAATGTTCAGAGATTTGTTTCAATAATTACCTTGTAGAGTAAACTTACTTGAAACTATGTATGTTGGTAATACAAAACTACTATGGTTGAGGTATTTTTTTGTAGAGAATTGTGCCTATTCACTTCCACTTGTAAAATGAGCCTGTCTTACAAGGTTAAATTTGCATACCAATTTCACAATAATTACAATCTTTCATAGAATCTAAGACAACATCAGTTGTAATTAAAAGGTACATTTATTTTACATACCGTTAAGAAATAAAATAATTTGTTATATAAATTGTGACATAACACTAAGATGTTACCAATTATAAGATGGATCCCAATTTTAGAGCTGTCGAAAAGTAGGGGGAAAAAAGGTATCTTGGAATCAATGAAATGCAGTAACCCACTGACTATGACCTCACTGATCTTTTTATAATCAACCAAAACAGTATGTATGAACTAAATGTTCTGCAAATACGTATATTTGAAGTGTATTACTATTAAGAAGACAAATATTATAACTTATAAAATTGAAAAATACTATTATCTTCTAAGAAGCACAAAAAAAAGTGGTTTCCAGCTAACATTTCATACCTGCCAAAGATCATATTTTTAAAAGTAATTCATTCTCCAGAACTTGGTAAAGATGATTAGCAACTACTACTCTTCAGAATAAAGGAATTACTTACCTCCAAAAAGCAAAATAGTAACATTAAAAGCTAGTTATGATGAAGTGAGCTACACACTCTTATGCAAAGATCTGTTTCACTTCTGATACTCACCAGTGCCCTGGGCAATTCATAGGTTTGAGGGCAAAAGTGTCCTTTTCAATCTCAAAGGTAAACATGTTCTCGCTGTAATGCTGCCAGTGGCCTGAAGCTTCCCAGAGTTTACTGTTGTACATATTGGGAGAGAGCACTTCCGTGAAGTTGCGCTTGTGATATTCCTCCTTTAAGACAAATGCATTTAACGCTAAGACCTGATAGAACAGATCACAATTCCGTGCAAAGTAACACTATGAGCAAATATTTTAAAACTCAGCATCATGTTTTATATTATTTCATGATTAATGTACCCTCAGTTTTAGATGTGATGGTTTCTGGATTATGAAAGAAAGATTTATATATGCTCAGTATAATTTTCATTAAGTTTATTTATTTTATAGTATACAACAGTATATAGCATAGAATGTTTTAATCCTTTGAAAATTAGTAATTAGAATAAAATATATATTGAAACTTGCTATAACTACAAACTCCAAAGTACTTTTACATTCTAGATAAACAGCAGGGTTTTTTCTATTACTTAAGAGGTAGAATAATTTTATAATATAATAAGCCTGAATGCCCATTGCATGTTACAATTTTGATCTATTTAGGTTTTTTTTTTTTTTTTTTTTTTTTTTTTTTTTTTTTTT